TTATGTGCTATGATAAAGGTATAAAGTGCTCTAGGAACACGTATTTTCAAAAATGAAAGTTGGGTTATATAGATAGGTGAGAATGAATTTGTTCCCCACTTCAAATTCTGGCCAGATCAGGCCCTTGAAAGCAAGACTACTCAAAAGGGGGCTCCCCTTTCCTGTCGCAAACCTTTTCTCTTGGGGCGGGGGGAGTTCTTGAGCAGGGTCTTGAAAAAAATTACTTAGATGGCAAGAGATGGAGGGGGTACATTTCAAGTGTATCTTCAGGGAAGACAGAAGGCACTTGAAGTCGAGGGATCAGCAATGCTTGGCTTACTGGTGAAACCAGTGATGGCTGGAGCATCACTTTTGTGAACAGGACAAACACTTGGAAAGGAAAATTAGGACCCTGTTATATACACGACATTGCTAAACACAGAATAGGGTACACTTCTAAGACCAAATTGCTGCCCCCTAGGAGCTTACAGTGATAACAAGGTGGAATAAGCACCACAATGTAGTACAGAATGCAAAATGCTGAAGGATTTAGGAGAAAATTACAGCTGAGTTTCAGCTATTAGCACATTAGGATACCCAATAGCTTTCTGACAACTAGTAGTAAACCCATCCCTGAGGGGAGCACAAGCTAATGTCCTTGGACAACAGGCCCTGGTAGAACTGGGCATTAAGACAGTTCTAAGGAAACAGAGAAAACCTGGGTAGGAAAACTGAACTGTAGAAGCAACTGGGTAAGCATATAAAATGTGGCACCTTACCTTTTCTTTCCACAACCAAACCTTTAACAGCACTGTACTTCCTACAGTGAACCTACTGGTGATACCTGAAGGTGCTCCTTATCACTTCAGCAAGCCAATTTGGGACACTCTACTAATTGATTCTCTGAGCCATCTTTCTTTTGTAAAAGAAAAGGTCTCCTAGTTCTTTCCAGCACTAACATTCTACGAGTCAAAGAATTCTTCTATCCCTTGAGGTGATAATCAGAATGGGAAGCAAAACTTGAGGAAATGTTCTGACGTTTCTCACTTAAAAACTTAAGTTTTTTTCCATATAAATCACAAACAACTCCTATTCCAACAGCTAAGTTCCACCTCTACCACTCCCTTCTTCCAAATCTTAACATCTACCCATATGATTTTTAACATGACATGTTCTACAGTCTACTTAAGTGTGCAGTGACTCACAAAAAAAAAAAAAAAGGGAAGTTCCTTTCTTCCCTGCTTCCTTACGCCAGCTTCGTGGTATTATATCTTCATTTTAAAAGGCCAGACTTCATAAAAACATCGAAGAATTTAACAAATCCAAAGCAGAACAGGTGAAGGTGACGTCAACGTATGATACGAGTATCAGAAACCAAAGTGGTTAGTTATAGCAGTAGTGAAAACTGCTTCTGTTCAGATTAACTAAACAAGATTTAATCTTCCATCTAAGAACTATCAAACATATAGGCAAACTTTCCATAAGTAGGCTCCTGAAAAAAATAAAGTAGTTCAATGGTGAAATTTTGGTAAATATCCCTTAATTTACTAAAAAACCTAAGACACACTGGATGCCTGACCCTTAGGAACCTGTGACACTGGTCACATTTCAAAGTACCAATTTCTGTAATTGGCCAGGTCACATAGTTTAAGGAACTAATAGTGGCACTGATTCCCAATACTTTTTCCTCTAATGGAGAACTAAAAAAAGCAACCAAGTTCAAGTGGAGACTCTAGGAGGGAAGACTGTCCAACGTTTTCAAAACAAGTCATACAAGCAAAAAACTAACAACCTTGATTCTAAACCAATACATAAGAATAATCAAAACCAAAACTGGTTAAGGGTTTTAGGCTCCCTCTAAATCACTTTTACTTATTCAGGACATTATTTGAGACATGAAAGCATTAGTAATACAGTCTAACTTCAGTATTACCCTGAATTAGATACATATCCACTAAGAATAATGTAAATAGAAATAAATTTTATCTCACATGTGCCACCTTTTCTCCTTTACTATAGTCTAGTAAGAATTCACAAGCCTACTACCTACGGTCCCCTGAACCTCAATATCATAGTAAACAAATAAAAACCCCCAAAAGACATTACAGCCTTAAAACCAGAAATACTTAGTTATCTATCATCTAGTGCCACATGGCCATTACCTTATCAGCAACTTTAAAGCCCCCCACCCACCCACCCACCATTCCCACACAAATTTCTAAGTTTCTAAAACATTCTTTAGGTTTCTAAAATATTTGTGGAAGGCTCTCTATCTCTAATTGTTCTCTGCCCATTTGGTACATTAGGCAGTTAGCCAGAACCCCAGGTTCAACTAAATGTTAAAGTTTCTTCTTTTACAAGGCTGAGAATTACTCAACTAAAAGGTTAACAATGATCTCATTTATGTGCAGTTCCTGCAGATTCATTTAAGTAGCATAAAAATAAAACAGCTTTAATAGAAAAAGATCAGCAGACTTGACAAAGGCTAACCATTTACTTGTAAGAGATAAACCACTCAGAATAAACAATGGTCTACAAATTTAAACTTCATAGGAAGGTTATTTCCACAGAGTCTAACAAATTGCCTTCTATAAAGTGCCACATTGTCCATGAAACCATTAAACTCTACAGAAGGGTCTTCAAATAAGCATCAGGAGATAGCAGTTATAAGCACAAGACACAATTGCTACAAACTCACCTGGATTATGCTATAATAAAAATATTGTTATCATCCACATCCAGATTTCACATTTGTACTAGATATGTTGTCAAACCAGTCGAGAAAATAAGTTATGAACAAGTCACTATTACTGTATGACCATACAGAGAATCTGCAAACCAAAAGGAGCCCTACAAAATCAAAGTTCAGTTAACTTGTTTACCCTACAGGAAATGCAGAACAGTAATGCTAACCCTGTTTTGAATGTTTTCCAGATTCAGGTCTCTATACTAATTTCACTATTGTAATGTCTTATTCACTAAATAAGTCATTCCAATGTAAATAGGTAAGCATTATGGTTCTTTAGAAAAAGCATCAGTTTTGGAGGCCAATCTGCTACTTGCTACATGTGTGACCTGGAGGCCTATTCATTTAACTGTGCTGATGCTGTTTCTTCCTCATCTATTATTTTAGACAATACTATGTTGTTTAGATGATGATAATAATATATCAAAATATATTATTATTAGGTGGTCACCTAATCCATAGGATAGTTTCAAAGTTTTCTAACCTAAAACTAAAGTGCAATTCCACTAATTCCCTGGTAGTACCCTACTCATCCAAAGCCAAATAATTTTTTTTGGATCATCTGTTCCACTGCTTCTCAACAATAACTCAAAAGTTGAGAACACAGGAATATACAAATAAAGCCCAACTTCACCATAATACCATACAAAAACAGATTTGCAAGGCCCAAGATGTATTTTTCAACAGACCTTAAAAGACCAAGACCCACTGAACTAATCTAATCTCACCTAGCTAAAATACTAACAGGTCAAGGGTTACAAGCTGAGAAGTCAAGAACTATATACACTGAGCTATTCTGACAGATGAGAACTGTGTTTTAAAACCTGAAGAACTTCAAGGTGATGAGCTGACACTGCCTACAGAAAAATCTTACCCTATTTTAAAAAGTTATTTAACTTAAAAATAAGTAAATCAATAAGACAGTTTTTCTCCAAGGAAAGAACTAAGCCAAAAATTCTTAAATGAGTAAGATTTACTTTTTACACAAAACTACATCCATGGTTTTCACTTTCTGTGTGAAGGTATGTATCTCTAGGATCTCACGTTTATCCCATCAGCAATAACATAATGGTATCAAGATTCTTAATAGTGTTAACTATGACAATAGATCCTATTTCTCAGGTCCAATGATACTCAAAATTCCACAATCATCCCAATTCTGTTGATCTGAAATTACTGGGGTAGCCTTTTGTTTTCCAATTATACAGCGACTTCCTCCAACAAGTTAGAATTTATCTAGCATATTACCCCTCCCACTTAGGAAAACAAAAAAATTGGTAATGTCACTATAATTCCTGAAAAAGATTTCCATTTCCTAATTAGTTCATTTTATTTATATGAAGCTGTACTTCAAAAGATGAGTCTTCCTTCCAGCTTTCCTAAATCTACCACTCCCACCATACACGGCAGGAGTAGGGACTACCACACCACTATTCTCAGCAGGACCACTTCATTTTACAAACACTTGGCATCCTCAGCCCTACCCACTAAATGCCAGGTGTAGTATCTCCCTCCCCCACCCCCAGCCCCCCCAAAACTCACACATTTCCAAATGCATTCTAGGGGGTGATAACAAGCCCAAGTTGAAAATCACTGCATCTAGTTAGAGCCCTTAAGCCTGAGTAGGAAGAGCTCCTGTTTTGAAATGCAGTTCAGTATCCACTTGTGGAAAATAATTTCTAGGTCAGCCATAATTTATAATGTAAAGTTCCTACAACTTGTTTTTTTCCAAAAATAACTTAGGCTAACTTTTTTGCTTTCCACCACAGCTTAATATAAGCTACAAAAGTACAAGCTGAATTTCTCCTAATTATCAATGGCCTGGGCCACATGAATTAGTTACCAAGTTGTTATCTGAAAATGACCCAAAGGACAGCTATGTGACTCAGTTACTTAAGTTTCTTTATGTGAAGGGGATCCTGTCAATTTTCAAACATTTGAGATACCGAGGCCCAAACTGATAACATCAAACTTCATTTTAGTCTTTAAGACTACACCCTTCAGTAAACGTAGAGTTTCTCAGTAACAGCAAAGCAAGTAAAACATTCCTAATTCCTATTCCTATACTATCCTTCAACAACAGTCCTAAAGATGAACACTGTTAGGAAGAAAATAAATAAGTTACGTTTGACAACCTGGCTGCCCTTCAATTGGTAATGACAAGTTATCACACAAAGGCTTGCTTCACAAATGTGTGAACAACATCTTCATCCACTTCCACACACAGCACTCAATAACAGAATTTGTAAAACGAGCATTAGTCTATATTCTCAGATTAAATTTTCTTCCAGAAATATTTTAATTAAAATTGGCCATTCCAAGAAACACCCACTCCGTGCCCATCAACAAAACAGAACCATAACAAAATCGAAAATTTATCACATGGCTATGATTTAAAGGAAAACAAAAACAAAAAAACTAGTGGACACTGAAGCACATCAGCAACGTCCAATATTAAAGTCACATTCCTTCTTATGAGCTATGATTAGGAATCTGATTAGATACCAAAGTAAAACCTAATACAAATGCTGAAATATTTAGGTCAAAAGACCTCTATAGAAGCATCTGTCCTCAAAGGCATTCCAGTTTGAGACTCAATTTTAGAATAAGGCATAACAAATGTTAACAAAAGATACAAAGTGAAGAGGGACTCAAATTCTCCACATACTCTGAACCTGATAAATTCAGATTTTTTATTTTTATTATTTTTCTTTAAACAATTGCCAAAAATGGAGTCAAAGATAAATAGAAGGCACAACAGTTTTGCTCTGTTTTTTTGTTATTTGGATTTGGGGAATTTTTTTTGTTTTTGTTTTGTTTTTTTACAAATACAAATTAAACATGGAAAAACTCTACTTCAAAAAAAAACAGTTCAAGAGAAAAGCATATCGGTTGCATTCTAGACATTCAAAACGTATCTCACAATTTAAATTTCAATGGTAAAAAACAGTAGGTTTTGAAATTGTTTTGTGATATCAAAAGAAAAGAAAAAAACTAACACTTTTTATTCAGTTTTTAACCATACTAGCAAGAATCAAAATTGTCAATTTTTCCAATGGCAATTTCTCCACAGCAGAAGGTAGTCATGACTCTCAAGAAACAATTTCGGTTTTTCTTGACTTCAAAATGTTTTTATCAAATCCTGTATTTCTTACAGGCTTTTGAAACATGTACAAAATAAGTATAAGAAATATTCCAATGAATGAAACATACCAAATGTCAGTAATAAGTAAGACACATTCCTTTGGGGAAATGGCTGTTTAAAAAAAAAAAAATCCAGTCTGTATATGCAAAGTAAGCCAGGAAATTCAGTCTTTTTTTTCTTCTTTAAAAATCTGTTTTCCTAAAATATCATTCCACAAAATTGGAAGTGAAGGACTAGAAGATCAGGAGAGGAAAGGGAGGGTAAGGGCGCACACACCATTAACACAAGGAGGAGTAAAAGTGTACAAACGTAAGCAGTTTATAAGAGACTAGCGTCATACTCCAAGACACCAAAGGCTGGTTGAAGAAATTCACCCTTGTGCAGGAGTTAGGGTTTGTACTGCTGCATGATGACTAGAGAAGGGAATTCACTGCCTTGGAGCAATGCCCCTTCCCACTCCAAATCCTGGTTTCTGCACCATGCCTCCACGGGGAGGGCCTCTCATTCCACCACCCAGCCCACCTCGAGGGCCTCCAGGTCCCCGCAGGCGGTTATCTCGACGGTCCCCTTCCCTGGCGGCTCGAGTCTTCTTCTCTTCCACATTCAGACGGACTTCACCTCTGAACATGATAGGCTGTAAAAATCAAGGTGACCAGACTTAATAAGAGTGCTTATAGGTTACTATCAAAAATTTAAAAAAAGACTATTACCAAGAACCAGAAGCTTACAAATCACCTACGTTCTCACAGTTTTTGTTTCAAACCCAGAACACACTGTCCCATTAACAAATATGTGAAAAGGTGGTTAGGTATTAGTACAAGAAAGCCAATTTAAAAAGCACAGCAGTACAAGTAACTCATTGTACTTCTAACACTCACACATATTCCAGTCTAAGGTAGATCTTATTATCCCAAAGAATTACATAAACAGAATGACATATATAAGAAATGTCACCTTCTCCATAGATTTGGAGGCTTAGAATAAAACCTCATCATCACCTAATGGCAGGAGCCCTGGTGGTACGATGGTTAAGCTCTCGGCTGCTAACCAAAAGGCTTGCAGTTCAAACCCACCAGCCACTCCACAGGCGATGCGGCAGTCTTGGAAACCCTATAGGACAGCTCTAGTCTGTCCTAGAGGGTTGCTATAAGTCAGAACTGACTCGATGGCAATGGGTTTTAATCACTTAATGTGGAAATATTTTGTACTGTACATATTTATGCAAAGTGCACATACATCTCAAACATATCGTAATTTGACTTAAGTATAACTTTAACAAAATGCTATTCACCTTACTAGAATTTTGGAAAATACTGAAGATGATCAACATAACATGCTAATGAGGGGAAAAAAAGATACATCCACACTAAATCTTGGTGCCTTATCCTTATAGAAAACAAAGGAATCCAATGAATTTATGCTCCTTTCTGCAGTATGATTATCTGAAATTTTTTTTTAAATAAATAGCTAACAATACTTACTCTGTGCAAAAGAAGTGTTCTAATTTTAAAAATAACACTCTGAGGTTAAGTACTTTATTATAGCTATTTTAGAGACTGGAAAACTAACGGCCAGGGAGGTAAAGGAACTTGCCCCATGGGTAACAAAGCTGGTGAGTGGTGGAAAAAGAATGTAAACCAAGGCATCCTGACTGGAGTGTGTTAAGTTTTTAACCACTATGCTACACTACAGCTGTCATATACACCACAGTCATCATTTTTATATAAGCTATTTCTGTACTCATAAAAAAATACCAAGAGAATACAGTAGGTTTCTACCAACAATACAGTGAGATGAAGGAAAGGCAAGCTGCCTTAGTTTTTGTTTTTTTTAATTGTATTTTAGATGAAGGTTTACAGAGCAAACTAGCTTCTCATTTAACAGTTAGTACACATATTGTTTTACGACACTGGTTAACACCCCATGACTTGTCAACACTCTCCCCTTCTCACCCTTGGGTTCCCCATTACCAGCTTTCCTGTCCTGCCTTCTCGTCCCTGCCTGTTTAGTCTCATTTTGTTTTATGGGCCTGTCTAATCTTTGGCTGAAAGGTGAACCTCAGGATTGACTTCAGTTCTGAGCTAAGAGGGTGTCCGGGGCCAGATTCTCAGAGTTTCTCCAGTCTGTGTAAAACCAGTAAGTCTGGTCTTTTTTTTTTTTGAGTTAGAATTTTGTTCTACATTTTTCTCTAGTTCCTTCTGGGACCCTCTACTGTGATCCTTGTCAGAGCAGTCAGTGGTGGTAGCCAGACACCACCTAGTTGTGTTGCACTCAGTCTGGTGGAGGGTGTGGTAGCTGTGGCCCACTAGTCCTTTGGACTAATCTTTCCCTTGTGTCTTTGGTTTTCTTTATTCTTCCTTGCTCCACGTAGGGTGAGACAAGTGGAGTATCTCAGATGACCACTCACAAGCTTTTAAGACCCCAGACGCTACTCACCAAAGCAGAACGAAAGCAGAACATTTTCTTTATAAACTATGTTATGCCAACTGAGCCAGGTGTTCCCCGAAACCTTGGTCTCCACAGCCCTCAGCCCAGTAATTTGGTCCCTCAAGGAGTTTGAATATGACTATGGAGCTTCCACGACCTAAGGCAAGCTACACTGGAACTTCACAAAGTACAAAGCAGTGATCAGAAAGCAGAGATGAAGAAACTGGCATTAATTTAAAAAAAAAAAAAAAAAAAAAAAAAAAAAAAAAAAAAGCTTCTTTTGACCTGATTCTAATTTACATTTTAAATTCTAATTTAAATTACATGTATATATGTGTGTGTATACATACACACATACATACTATATCAATCACTCCACAAATATTAATTTGGGACACTGTTCCAGGTACATCATTCCAGATACAATGGGAAATGGAAAAGACAAGGCATTACGTTCTAGAAGGGGAGGGAGAAAATATACAAGAAAACAAAATTACAGTATAAAATGAAGTACTTTAAAGAAAAACAAGACCATGTTAAAGTTTGAAAGATGAGGGGGAAGAGGTATTGGGCTGGAGGTACTCTAAAAGGTGGTTATGAAAGACATCTTTGAGTTTTCAAGATTAAGAGAGATCTGAATCAAAGAAGGTACCAGACATATAGCCCTTCCTGAGGAAAATTATCTCAAGCAATTCTTTTGCAAAAAGATGTCATGGCTTAGCCATGTGAATTAAATTAAATAAACCCCCTAATCTTGGACAATTAGCTGGCAAGCCAATCAGCAGGTCTGATCTTGTTTGGCCCACTGAAAATACAATTAAGAATTCAAGGCGACACCAAAACGGTTGGCCACTAGACCTAATGTATCCTGAAAGATGGACAAATCCATCTGTCCATAAAGCCTACTGAACACTTCTGGGTAGGATAAGCCACCATTTCCTCCTCATTTCTCAGTGTTCTGCAGGAGTTTCACAAAAATCGGTGTTCAAACAGTTTGACAGATTTACAATGCACACTTGCAGATTAAGACTCAGTGTTACCACAAACTAAACTTTGCAGTACCCATTAATGTTCTGGAGAACATCATGGTCCCCTCTGGGAAATACTGATCTACGTTTCTGTCACATGGTTTAAAATGTGCAGTTTTAATCCATAGAAACAAAAAGCAGATTAGTGGCTGCCAGGGGCAGAGGGAAAGGGGAAATGGGAAGTGACTGCTGAATGAGTACTAGGTTTCCTTTTGAAGTGATGGTAGTATGTTGGAACTAGACAGAGGTGACAGTTGCACTAAATGCTGCTGAATTGTACACTTCAAACTGGTTAATTTTATGTAAATTCCACCTCAATAAAAAATGTATAGTTTTAAAATCCCACATCTAATCTCAGTAAATTATTTGTTCTTCTCTGCAAGTACAAAAAAGTGGTCTTCACTAACCAAAGATATGTGGAAAGGATCCAGTTCTGTAAGAACTACACAGGTAGTAAGGCCCTGATTCTACAAATCTCTGTATTATTAGAAACTACACATAAGAATTCAGTTAATAAAGGTGCTTCCAGGTAGGATGAACATAATTTGTCTTCCAAAACCCAAACCCATTGCCTTTGAATGGATTCCGACTCATAGCAATCCTATAGGACAGAGCAGAACTGCCTCACAGGGTTTGCAGGGCTGTGAAACTTTACGGGAGCAGACTGCCACACCTTTCCTGTTGCGGAGTCGCTGGTGGGTTTGAACTGTCAACCGTCGACCTTTTGGTTAGCAACTGAGCACTTTATCAATGCACCACCAGGGGTCCTAATTATCTTCCAAACCCAGACAACTTACAGGATTAAAGGAGATACTCTTAATAGTTACACCCAGACAACAGTTGTATACCAAGACTGCCCTGGACAAAGTGGTTCTTATTAGTCAAGAGTAACGTTGTATTTCAACTCCACACCAGAAGCCGCAACCAACAAAAAGAATTTACATAAACCTCAGTGCACTGATAACTACTAATTTTTTTTTTTTCATTCTCATCATTCACTTATTCAAAAACTGCCCAAGTTATTTAGATAGAAGTTTTGTTTTTCTAAGCTCCCAGGCAGGTCTTTTAGGAATAATGGTTGAACATGATAGAATTAAGTTATCCAAACATGTTGGAATAATTTATACTTTACATTTAAGAAGACCTAGCCATAAGGATGAGTACATTCTACAGAGCCAAGATGTACTCTTATTTAAAAAAAAGAAAAAAGTGAAGATGAAAAATTGCTTACCCTGTTGCTAAGAACCTTCTGAACAGGTTCAGAGTCATCAAACACAACAAAACCAAAATTGGGTAATTTCCCACCGCTGTTAATGCGCAGCTCCACCACATTCCCATAATCTGCAAGTGAAACACAGCTTTTCAGATAACCTACTAGAAAGTTTCCATTAAACACTAGATGTGCACTGTTAAATACAGCAGACACTAGCACATGTGGCTACTGAGCACCTGAAATGTAACAAGTCCAAATTAGATGTGCCATAGTGTAAAATAGTAAATACAAACATTAGTATAAAAAAAGTAAAATAGCTCTAATATTTTTACTTGGTGAAACAATGTTTCAGATACATTAGGTTAAACGTTATTAAAATTAAATTTTCCAGTTTTTTGTTTTTTTTTTACTACTAACATGACTACTGGAAAACTTAAAAGTATACATGCAGCTCGCCTCTTATTTCTATTGGACAGCACTGCTCTAGATGAATTTAATGTTCAAAAACCCAATAACCTACTTTGAAAGAAATCTTTAAGCTCTGATTTGTCCACCTCATGAGGCAGGTTGCCAATGAAGAGTTGGTGACTGTCAGGGTGTCTCACAATTCTTCGAGGTTCAACATCACCTTGCTCACCAGCCTCACGAACTTAAGAGGAAACAAAAATAGCAATTAAAGACAGAAGAAGATGACATCTTTCAGTGACTGTTCCATTCAATAGTTTTCTTTCTAGCTTAATTATAAATAATTCCATAACCCTACAATATTAAAAAATAAATAAATACATAAACATCAACCCTCTCCGCCCAAAAAATAAGCTCTTATCTCAAAATCCTCCAAACCAGAGAAAGAAATCACCCCTCTAAGCTCTTACTTGGTCTAGAGCCTCTCTGTGGAGGAATATTTATTCGTTGTTCTCGCACTCTTTGATCCCTCTGAGGCCTCTGTGGCGGAATCTGAGATTCAGGCTTAGACTCTGGACGGGGCTGAAAATTTTATAATTTTTGTGTAAAGACCAAGCAGGTTTACTTTTTTCTTATAAAATGTCTTAGCTAACAATAATCTTTACACTAGAAAATGACAATTCCCTCACAAGAAGCCATAAAAACCATCCTTCTACCTCTACCACCTCTACCCTATATACCAGTTCCACATTCTCCAAACCCTCGTGAAACCACATTACATGAAATACAAGTAAATTTGCCTAATGGACAATTTTAACTAGAACCTCACCTGTGAAGCTGGGACTTTAACAACATGAGGTGGGATCCCAGTAACTGGAACAGCTCCACTGGGTGGAAGGTTCTTACTGGTCACAGATGCCCAAGAAAATGTCTAAGGGAACAATACCAACATTATGTGATTATACCATATAGCAAAACAATATAAAAGCCATTAACTCTAATTTTCTGTACATAACATATGCATCAAATTCTCATAATCCAGATGGAGTTTATAAATATCTTGATATTCCTTTTTTCCCTCTACTCACAGTTTAGTACTAAATTCCTTAGGACTCAACATCAAGCATCAGGCAAATGTGAGAGAGGCTTAGAATCAAGGAAGCTAATCTGAGCTAATTTCAAGTTTGTAGCAAAAGGAAATTCTGTCTCCTATAACATCAGCTCTTCTTCCTGTGATCTTTCCCATACCCCCATCCACGGCACAAATATCAATCCAATTACATTAACTTTAGAAACATTTGAACACCTTCTCCAATCTGTATCAAAATCACCACATCCCATTATACCCCTTAATTATCATCTCTCCATCTCTACTGCCACCACCCTAATCTAAGCCATCATTTCCTTTCCCCAGGACAACTATAACAGTGCCTAACTGGTCATTCAGTCATGATCCAGCCAACCCTCTCTTCCACCTGGAAGCTAGTTATCTTTAATAGTACAAATTTTAAAGCAGTCATTTTTAATGCCCTCCTATTTCTCTTGGAAGATCAAACTCTGAAATATGGACAGCTCACAATGATTTAGCCTCCTTGGCTCCATCTTTACAATCCTCCCTCCTTCTGAATTCTCACCCAACCACACAGGTTTTTCTTCTGTTCCTTTCTTTCCACCTCACACATTCCTCTGCCTTTTCAACTGACAGGAAGTCTTTTCTGAACATTAGGACTATGTTAGGTACCTTAATATGGGTTCTTACGACAATTCTCATTTATAAATAACACTTAACACAAAAGTAACTATAAAAGATTGTTTACCAACCTTCTTCCCTACTCAGCTATTAGCTCCTAGAGAACAAGAACCCTGTCTGTTTCACAGATTTAGTCCCCACACCTAGGATGATGATTGGCACATAGTAGGTACTTGAATTACTGAACTGTTGAAGACAAACAAATAACACTGTAAGAACCCTGGCCCCATAAATACAGCACTAAAAAATATTCCTTCCCAGGACAAACTCAAAGGTTCTGTGAGTTCACATACCACCCTGATCTGACTTAGGGGGAATAACACTGAAGGGCTTCAACCTTTCAGCAGTTTGTCTCCGCTGTTACTGTGAAGTTACCCTCAAAGAGATTTCACTAAAAAAGACAAGAAAAATCTTGTTCTGCCATTTTCTTTGTTCAAAAAAGATACATTTGCATTATTATAACTAGCACATAATAATATGCAATTTAAAAAATGAAATACTAAAAAAAGACAAGCGCTTATTAATATGGTGATAAAACAGCGCTTGAAATGTCTGGTCTAAGAGGTATTCAAGTTTCCTTAGGAGGAAAAAAGTTACTTTCGATTTTATTCGGCAATATGCATCTTCTTGTCTGAGGCATGGCTTAACAACGCAAGAAATTTCCTTGAACCACTAACATGAAAATGTACCTATAAAATTCAAACAATAACAAAGAAGAGACATTTTAAAAAAACAAATGAGAAATAGAATAAAAATGAAGGTATGTTCCATACCCTCAAGTCCTCCTGTACTGTCTGAGCTATGTCTGCAGGTGCTGGGGAAGAACTCTTCTGACCATCTTCAGGAGCAGTTTCTTCCAATACTGGTTCAGACTTTTCCTCTTGGATTTCAGACACAGGTTCCTGCTCCGGTTCTGGTTCAGGATCAGGCTCTGGTTCAGCAACAGGTTCCTCTAAATGTTCTTCTAAGTCATTGCTTTCACAAGAAAATTTGAGAACTATCATTCTGCCTTCACTGATTTAACAAGAAATTCTCATGTGTTTATTAATTCACAATAAAAACCTGGGCCTCAAAATAGCTCCCTCCTTCCAAAAAAGATCTAAGAATCATACTCATATGTCTGAGTATTAAAGCAAGTGACTTTTTAAAAAGCATTCAATAAAATAATCTTAACTGGAATCAGATTATCTGCTAAAATTGATACTCAAATGAACTAAAATAGATCAAGGTGAACCAAACCATTATTTCTCACTCAGTTGGAATCCCAAAATTATTATGATTTACCTACCACGTATTACAAAAAAGTAAAAAACACACTGGAAATGCTTGTTAAAACTGCAGATAAATCTCTCCCAGAAACTCTAACTCAGTAGGCCCATGGTGGGACAATTAACCTTCATCTTTCAACCAGCAACCCAAGTGAGTAATATGGGGTAGTCTACCACCACACCTGGTGAAACACTGTAGAAATTAAGAGTGTCACGTGGCAACAATATCCATTTCCATTCCAATGAAACACATTTCTTTTCCAACTGCAGGGGGAAAAAAACCCTAAGATACCATCACACCATCACACACTTGTTGTCTGAGGTAATTAATAAACTTCTTTATTGCTGCTTAACTCATGTGACTGAATTTCTGTCAATTTATGCCTGTATCGCTAATTAAAAGTCCTTGTACATTTTACACTTCCCCCAGAGCACTTGCTAAGAAATCCAATCAGATCTATTTTTCACTTACCACTAAGGTAAAACTGAACCAAAACCAACTGATAGATACTAATTAAACAGCCCTATTATTAAACAAGTTACATTTCTGTTAGCTCAGAGACAAACCCAAAAAACCAAACCTATTGTTGTCCAATCGAGTCAGACTCATGGCAGCCTCGTGTTACAGAGTACAACTGCTCCACGGGTTTTCATGCTGTAATCTTTATGGAAGGAGATTGCCAGGCTCTTCTTCCACGGTGCCACTGGGTGGGTCTGAACCACCAGCTCAGTGATACCAAAAGCAAAACCTTTCTTCTGGAAAGTTACTACTTTTTGAGATAATTCTGAGAATCTATGAGCATCTTCCAACAAAAAGAAAGACTAGAGAATCCAAATTTCCATGTCGCCCTAGACATGGGAACAAAGTTTTCCTCACCTGACAGTCTGATCATAGAAAGTTCCAGCATCATCAGGTACCACCTCTGGTGTCTGCTGTCTTTCTTCAGGCTCCTCTACTTCTTCCTCAGATTCTAAGTGAGGGAAAAAATTTTAGTCTGTGCTTACTGAATTCACAAATATACTCACTTTCACAATGTTAACTGTGATCAAAAAGACAATTACTGAGAAAAACCATATATACAAACAAGTTAAAAAAAAAACAAAACAGGAAAATCTGGTAAATCCATGGCTTTAAGGCCAGAATTAAGGCTATTGTAGTGTTCCCGTTAACAACATCGATTCCGAAGTCATATGGCCAGTAACCCAATCCAACTTCTACCATCTAACTAGCTATACGATATAGGATAAATTATTTCACTGCATCTCAGCGCCCTAGTCTTTTAAATAGGGACAACAGTACCTGAAGTACCTATCTATAAGGCTGCTGTATTGCACAGTAATTGTAATGCACTTAAAAAAGTCTCATTGGAGGAACCCCAGAAAACATGGCCCCCGGATTCTCTATCAGCCCAGAACTAAAACAATTTCCAAAGCCAACTCTTCAAACAGGGATTGGACAGGACTGTGGGGCACAGAATGATAGTCGTGAGGGGTCTGCCTCTTAGCTGAAGTAGACACAAGAGACTAAACGGGCAGCTTCTATCTGGAAGTGAGATGGGAAGGCGGAGAGGGTTAAGAGCTGGTTGAATGGACATGGGGAATCAGGTGGAAAGTAGGACTGTGCTGTCACAGTATGGGGAGAGCAACTAGGGTCATGTAACAATGTATGTATAAATTTCTGTATGGGAGACCAACTTGAAATGTAAACTTCATTTAAACTACAACAATTAAAAAAAAAAGTCTCAGCCATACAGAAAACTTTCAAACATTATTATTACCTGTTGGGAAACAATTCTCCACCGGTTTGTGTTTCTGTACCTCTTACAATTGAGGCAATGGCTACCTTTGTTACAGACTATCTTTTCAAGAACATTTGTATCTGTACAGCAAAGAGTCTTAGAAGACAGCATCTCCCTCCAGAGCAAATGGCAAATACGTTTACTGCCCATTATAATAAATTCAGGTGCCCTAAGCTCTAGGTTCCACGCCTGTAACACAACCCACTGCATATGCATGTATCACCTGGTCCTCTTCACCACGCCTTGTGGAAACTGGGGCAAAAATGCTACTATTATTGGTGTGGGAAATAACCTGTCCATTTCTGACCCAGAATTTAAATTAAAGAATTTAATAAAATTCTTTATTGCTGCTTAACTCATATGACGGAATTTCTGTCAATTCATGCCTAGATCCCCAATTAAATGGAAATCCTTGTACACTTTACACTGCCTCCAAAACACCCCCAGGAGTCTCATGTACTGTATCAACTTCCATAAAACTGCAGCAGGCAAACCTGTTAGCTTGCAAGCAGGGTAAAATCTCAGACCCTTCACATCATACCTTGACAATCAGAAGTTATTGTTAACAAAGAACACAGTATAATGAAAACATTCAAGAAACCTATATTCTTAGGGATAGTATGATGTCATTTAAAAAAAAGTTAGGCCAAGTAACTTATGATGTATTTTTTACTACTCACCCTCCTGAGGCTCAGTGACAAAGCCACCAAAGACTTCATCTTGGTATCTGAAGATATCATTGTGAACATAGAACTTATTTGCAACAGAGCCCTGCAATACCAAGAAAGTTTACATTTATTTAGCACTTTTAAAAAGTCAAATCACTGTAACCAGTTCTCAATCCTGGGTAGTTTGCCCCCCTGCCCCAAGACATCTGACAATAGCAAAAGACATTTCAGTTTTCACATGGGGGGGGGGGGGGCTGCTACAGACAACTAGTGAGTAGATGCAGGGATGCCACTAAACATTACGCACAGGACAGTCCCCCAACAAGGAATTATCTGGCCCAAAACATTAATAGCACTGAGGCTGAAAAACCCTGCTCTATAAAATGGATGTAAAAAGACTATACTTAAATATATTTTGTTTTCTCAAAACATTTATCCTTACCACCAGATTGATAAAGCTCTAAGATGTCACAGCCCACGTGTCAAATCATTAAGAGAAACTAATTCCTTGAGTAATAGGTATCCCAACTTCAGCAGGTATTTAAAATTCCCTAAATCCCTGTATACGGTCACTACAAGTCAGGGTTGACTCGAGAGTAATTTTTTTTTTTTTTGATTAGTATCCAAGAACACTGATATTAGCACTCAAGGATAGTGTAGCAGAAAAAGCTTGCTCACACTAGGTAAAGACACCCTGAGTCCAAAGCCAACTATGTCATTTACTAGCTATTCAATTCCTGAGGCTCAGTTTCCACATCTATTAAAAAGAGGGATACAGAGTATACCTCAAAACTTTGAGTATTAAATGACACAGTTAACACAATAATGCATTATATGAAAGTGGTTAGAGCCTACCCTTAAAAAAAAAAAGGAACTATAAACAAACTTGTTATAGGCAATCATACAGCATGTGTGAGTCTGCATATTTATATGCAAAGAACATGCTAAAAGGACACAGATACCAGCATGGAGGGGCTCACGCTGGCCAGATCTGGGGCATTTTAGACGTCAAAATATGTAATGTTACTAATGGATAATCCACTAAATAAAGAATCCATAAATGACAATGAAGTAAGCAAGCAAGAAGAGAAAAAGTTCTTTACCACAGAATGTCAACTAATACAGAATGATGGAGTTAGATAATCACCATTTGCAACCATCAGAATAACAACTGATTCCAGCAAGAACCATCAATAAATGCTAAATCTAGTGCATGAAACTTTGCTGAAGAGCAAGATATTTGCACTGTCTCTAAAGAATTCCCAAAATTTACTTAGGAAAAACACTAATTTTACAGTGATGAAACCTGGTGAACACAACCTAAGTGATCAAAGTTAACATCATTAATAACTGAACATTATTTAGTTTGAAAGACATTATATACCCTTATAAGCTTAATCTAACCACAAGGAAACTTCAGACAACACAAATGGAGGCATTCTACAAACAACTGCGCTCTTCAAAAATATCAAGGCCAATCCAGTATACAGAAAATTCCAAAGAATCTACAAGAAACCTACCAGACCTAATAAATTAATCCAGCGAAGTTACAGGGTACAAGATGAACAAAAATCACTTGTGTTTCTATATGCCAACAACGAACAATCAGAAAAAGAAATTAAGAAAACAACTCTACTTACAACAGCATCTAACAACTATTGGTCTCTACTTGTCCGGAGCTAAAGAGAAAGAAGGAAACCAAAGACTCAAAGAAGAAACTAGTCTACAAGCCAACAGTCTACACAACCATCATCATCACCTACCTTGAGACCAGAAGAACTTCATGGTGCCCGGCAACCATTACCCACCGTTCCAACCAGGGACTCAATAGATGGTCCCGGTTAGAAAGAGAGAAAAATGCGAACAAAACTCAAACTCCTAAAAAAAAAGGCCAGACTTACTGCACTGATAAGAGACCAGATGAACCCGAGACTATCACCCTGAGATGTTCTTTCAACTTCGAACTCAAATCACTCCCAGAGGTCACCTTTCAGCCAAATGACAAATGGACCCATAAAATAAGTAACATCACCTGTGAATACTGTGCTCTTCAAATAATCATCCAGGTAAAACCACAAGGTTAACATTTACCCTAGACCAAAGATGAGAACGCTAGGGAGGACAGGGAAGCTAGATTAATGGAAATAGAACAACCAAAATGGAAAAAATAATAATACTGATATATTGTGAAGAATGTAACCAATGTCCCTAATAATATGTATAGAAATTATTAAATGAAAACCTAATTTCCTGTGTAAACATTCACCAAAAACACAATAAAACTTTAAAAAAAAAAAAAAGCATATAAAAGAATAAAATATTTAGGAATAAATTTAACTAGGGAAGTGAAAGACAACCGTGCTCATGGAGTGAAAGGCTTAGTATCGTTAACATTATCAGTACTACCCAAAGCGATCTATATATTCAATGCTATCTCTATCAAAATTTCAACAATCTTTTTCACAGAAATAGAAAAGCTAATTCTCAAATTATATGAAATTGCAAGAGGCCCTAAATAACCAAAGCAATCTTGAAAAAGAATAAAGTAGGAGGGCTCAGTCACTCTCACATTTCAACATGTACTATAGTTACAGTAACCAAAACAGTCTGGTAACGGTACACAGACAGACGTACAGACCAATGAAACAGAACTGCGAGTCCAGAAATAAACCCATACATCTACGGTCAACTGATTTTAATAAGGGTACCAAGTATATCCAATGAGGAAAGAATGTTCTCTTCAATAAATGATGCTGCACAACTGGATCTCCACATACAAAAGAATCAAGTTGAAATTACACCTCACACCATTTAAAAAAAAAAAAAAAAACTCAAAATGAATCAATGACCGTGCTCACTTCGGAGCACATATACTAAAATTGGAATGATACAGAGAAGATCAGTATGTCCCCTGCGCAAGGATGACATGCAAATTCGTGAAGCCTTCCATATTTTTATAGTAGGTAAGAATCATCTTAGGTGAAGGGAAGGACAGCAGACACTACAGGCGAAGCCAGCACAACTGGAAAAAACCAAAGCTAAGAAATTTCCTTAATACAAATACTTTGAGAGACAGAGTAGCAGGGATGTGGGGTCTGGGGACCATGCTTTCAGGGGACATCTATGTCAACCGGCATAACAAAGCTTATTAAGAAAATGTTCTGCACCCTACTTTGGTGAGTGGCGTCTGGGCTCTTAAAAGCTTGCTAGTGGCCATCTAAGATGCATCAATTGGTCTCAACCACTTGGGAGTAAAGGAGAACGAAGAACACCAAAGACACAAGGAAAGTATTAGCCCAAGAGACAGAATGGGCCACATAAACCAGAGACTTCATCAGCCTGAACCCAGAAGAACTACATGGTGCCTGGCTACCACCAATGAATGTCCTCACAGGGAACACAACAGAGGGTCCCTGATAGAGCAACAGAACGATGGGATGCAGAACTCAAATTGTAGTAAGAAGACCAGACTTAATGGTCTGAGACTGGAGGCGCCCCGGAAAGCATGGCCCCTGGACTCTCTATCACTCCAGAACTAAAACAATTTCCGAGGCCAACTCTTCAGACAGGGACTGGACTGGACTGTGGGACATAAACTGATACTCCTGAGGAGTATGCCTCTTAGCTCAAGTAGATACAAGAGACTAAACGGGCAGCTTCTGTCCAGAGGTGAGATGGGAAGGCAGAGAGGGCTAGGAGCTGGTTGAATGTATGTGGGGAATCAAGAGTGGAACGTAGGAGTGTGCTGTCACAGTATGGGGTGAGTAATTAGGGTCACATAACAATGTATGTGTAAAAAAAAAAATTTCTGTATGGGAGACTAACTTGAAATGTACACTTCATTTAATTACAATAATAAAAAGAAAAAAAAATGAATCAATGACCTAAATATAAGAACTAAAACTATAATATTTTTTAGAAGAAAACACAGTGTCAATGCTTTAAGACCTAGTTTTTGACAATGGAGTCTTAAGGTATAACACCAAATACTTGCACAAAAAAAGAAAGCTTCATCAAAATTAAACTTTTGTATATAAAATGATTTTATCAAGAAAGTGAAGCAACAACTCACAGAATGGGAGAAAATATTTGGTAACCATGTATCTGGATAAAAGTTTCATATCCAGAATATATATAGACCACCGACGATGCAACAAAATAAAAAGCCCAATTTTAAAAAGGGACTTAAATATTTATCCAAGAAAGATACACAAATGGCTGATAAGCACATGAAAAGATCATTAATCATTAGGGAAATGCAAATAAAAACCACAATGAGATACCACTTCATACCCAGTAAGATGGATAGTATCAGAAAAAAAGAAAGTAAGTGTTGGTGAGAATGTGAAGAATTTGGAACCTTCATTCACTGCTGGTGAGATTGCAAAATGGTGCAGTCGCTGTCTGGCGGTTCCTCAAAAATTTAAAACACAGTATTACTGTATGACCCAGCAATTCCACTGCTAGGTATATACTCCAAAGAACTGAAAGCAGGGACTCAAACATACTTGTACACCAACGTTCATAGCACCATTATGCACAAAGCCGAAAGGTAGAAACAATCCCAATGTCCATCAGCAGACAAATGAATAAACAAAATGTGACATAAACATACAACAGAATATCATTCAGCCATTAAAGAGAAATAAAGTTCTGATACATGCTACTACGTGAACTTTGAAAACATGCTGAATGAAAGAAGTCAGCCACAAAAGGACAAATATTGCATGACCCCATTTAAATATCCAGAATAAGCAGATGCATAGAGATAAGTTTCTTAGTGGTTATCAGGGGCTAGGAGGGAAAAATAGGGAGTTATTACTTAACGGGTACTGAGTTTCTGTTTAGGGGGATAAAAAACATTTAGAAATGGATAGTGGTAATGGTTGCACAATTTGCTGAATATAATTAATGTCACTGAATTATACACTTAAAAATGGGCAAAATGACAATTGTTTTGCCATATATATTTTACCACAATAAAATAGGGGGGAAAAAAGGCAATAAACACTTTGGAAAGAGGAAGTAATAGAAATAAAAAAAAAAATGAAAACAAAGCATAACAGAGAAAAGCCTACTTTCTCAAACAAAAAAAGTTAAGTGAATGTCATGAAAATAAAGACTGAGGAACGACTACAGATTAAAAGACTAAAAAGACATGACACCTATCTTGGATCAAAAAGGGAAAAAAAATTATAAAGGACAATTTTGGGATAATTACCAAAATTTAAACATGGACATCAATTAACTGCATTGCCTCAGTACTTCCTGAATTTAATAACTGTACTATGGTTTTGGAGGAAAATGAGTACAATGTCTCCAACTTCTTTTCAAATGGTTTAGGAGAAAAAATAGAGAAAGTAGCTCTAGATAAGGGGTATGTGGGATTAATGTACTATCCTGGTTAACTTTTCTATAAGTTTGAAATTTCAAAATAAAAAGCTTTTAGAAGGCACAACTTTTTATATAACACCAACAATCACTAGCACACATACCTCAGGAGCAAGAACAAACGTCTGCATGAATCTCCTCAAAGCCTGGTTGTTATTAGAGAGCAGCCCCATCACCTGGACTACCACACCATCATTTAAAGTAGCATGAGCATCAACATGGCGAATCTTAGTGTGGCAGTTAGTAAAGTTTTGTGACATCACTTTCCTATGGATTTCCTATGAAATTAAGGAAAGAATTAATACCTTAAAATTTATATAAACTTCAATCAAAATATCTAACAGACAAATTTGCATGTTTGAATTACTAAATACACAGATCCGATTTTAATTTGTCTTAGTATACTCTATACCCACTGACCACACTTGAGTCTTTTAAAATAATTCTACTGGATTAACACTTAAAAAAGTGTTTAGAATAGATGATCCCCATGCTAAAACCAATCATCTAACATACAAAAACTTCAGTATATATCATGCAAAATTAACAACCGTGATATGACATAAGCTTCTCAGCAAATGTCATAGTCTATTAAGCATGTATCCTCCCTAATTTTATGAGTTATTTTCTAGTTGCTTAATGCCCTTCATAAAGCTTAGTATGCTTACTTTTTGTCCATAGACCGCATCTGCTGGTTTTCCATTTGAATCCAATCCTCCATGGACATAAGAAGAGTTCTTTCCGTAAAATCTGTACAACACAAAGATAATTTACTTGTCATCTTCCAGTATCCTAAGACCAGGTATTTATTTTTCATTTTGCTACCTATCTGCCTCAATGGCCAGACTCTTGCAGGCAGGAATGTGTTTTTCTTGCTCATCTTTGTATGCGATCACCTATTCTATCCCCTATGTGGCCCTCAGTCAACATTTGCAGAATGGGAATGAATTTGGTCAGTGAGGCAGAACACTATTTTACAAGTCACAAGTTTCAGGGTTTCAGGGAAGATGATAGTGCTGTAAAGATCTTATAGTTCCTATCAGGAAGGCCACTTAAAATAAAACAAAAGTTCCTACATTCCCTCAGGAAAAAAACAGGCAATTCAGCTGGAGACATCTCTGTTCTCCATAGACTCAGAATTCTTTTGTATCTTGAGGACGCAAGTGAACAGTTCCCACTATAAACTCAGTAGCTCATGGAGGTGGTTTTAGGAGTTTTTCACAATTTCTGCTGACATAGTTAGGAGCTTCAGATTTTAATTTCCCATTATCTGGAGGACAGATATCAAGACATCCTAATAGTGGTTATCCCTGGGTTGGTGCGTTTTGGGTGTTTCGTGTGTATGTGTGCTGCATTCCCGATGGAATACTGTTTTAATGAATGAAAACAAAGGAATTGAGAATGTAGATGAATTAAGCTATAAAACCAAAAAACTCATTGCCGTCAAGTCAATTCCAACTTACAGGGTTGCTGGAAGTCGGAATCAACTTGATGACAACAGGTTTTTTGGTTTTATAGTTTAATTCATCTACATTCTCAATTCCTTTGTTTTCATTAAAACAGCATTCCATTGGGAATGCAACACACATACACACGAAACACCCAAAACGCACCAACCCAGGGATAACCACTATTAGGATTTCTTGATATCTGTCCTCCAGATAAACCTCTTTTTTCACAAATGAAACCGTACATATTCTGTGTCCTGATCTCACTCCCGCAAGACAAGAGGCCCACAAGAACTCTGAGTCTGCCTTCCGACTTGAAAAACTATTAAAAAGCTTCAAGTCAGCCAGAGATTCAATTCACTGCTGGCTATACCACTTTTCATTATAATCTAAGATATACCTCAATTAGAATAATAATAAAACGTGAGGGGAGGGGAAGGAAGATGTCTTAAAATCAATAAATAACAATATTGACAAACATATTAATGCATCTGGTAGTTTCTTTCAACTCCTGCTCCCTTTTGTCACATTCATCTAACTTCTAAAGGCATAGAAAAAACTTTGACAAAGATAAACAGAAAAAAGAAAAAAACTCTGTACATATGTTCTATCACTTAATAGTCACGTGAACACGAGCAAATTTTTAACCCCTCTGGGTGTCTTCGTAAAATGAAGTTAACTCTCCTGTAATGCCTTACTATAAAAGGCTTTTGGTAAGGATCAAAGAGGAACAGATGTAAAAGTGTTTTGGAAACTGCAAAGCCTTAAACAAACATTAAGAGATATCTTCCGTTTTCGGAACAAGGCCAAATCTTATACTTAAAACAAAATTTATAAATTTGCTTTGCACCTAATAATCATATGATATCCAATATGCGAGCTGGCCAAAGTATACACGAAAAAAAGTTTTGGCCTGGTAATTACAGATTTTAGAACTTCTATCAAATTATTCCAACAAGTCCATATAAACAGAGTTTTGTACGATGCCGCCTTATTAATAGGGAAAATAACAGAAGCAATCTACATATCCATCATTAGAGGATTGCTGCATTCTATACAATAAAAACCCTTTGGGGTCTTAAAAGCTTGTAGCGGCCATCTAAAATACATCTATTGGTCTCTTACAGTCCAGAGCAAAGGACCATGACAAAAACCAAAGACTCACGGGAGCAATTAGTCCAAAGGACTAATGGACCACATGAACCACAGCCTACACAACCCCGAGGCCAGAAGAATTAGATGGTGCCCAGCTACCACTACCAACTACTCTGACTGGGATCACAACAGAGGGTCCCGGACAGAGTGGAAGTAAAACGAGGAACAAAAAAATCAAATTCACAAAAAAGACCAGACTTACTGGTCTGACAGACTGGAGAAACCCCTGAGACGATGGCCCTAAAATACCCTTCTGACCTGGAACTGAAGCCATTCCCTGAGACCACCTTGCAGCCAAACAATAGACAGGCTATAAAATAAACAATAACACATGAGAGGACAGTACTCCTTAGAACAATCAATTATATAAGATCAAAAGGACATCATCTGCCCAAAAGCAAAGATGAGAAGGCAGAAAAGGTAGAAAATCCAGAAAGAAAGCTAACACAGAACCCAGGGCAGAAACGGGGAGAATGCTGACATATTGTGGGGAATGCAACAAATGTCATGGAACACTTTATGTACAAACTATTGAATGGGAAATGAATTTGCCCTGTAAAATTTCACCTAAAGCACAGTAATTAAAAAAAAAAAAAAAAAAATGTGTGGCCACTACAATTCATATCCTTGAAAGATGACCTCAGATTAACAAGTAAAAAACTAAAAGACAGTATATTAACATGTTTCTATATACACAGAAAATTGTTTGGGGTGGTATTACTAGAGATTTCCATAATTTGATTTATACATCTGTATTTTAATTTAAACAAACATACATCGTTTATATTAAAAGACACTCCAGTTTTTTATAAAACACACAGACACAAAAGGATGTTACTACAGGGAACAGTCTTGAATCTTTTTCAATACATTCTTACTAAATAATGCATGATTCATCAAAAATGAAAAATAGAAATATAAGCATACATATTATACATTTACATTTTCAGATGCTATTTTCTGATAATATATAAGTTTAGGTCACTTAGTCTAATTTTTTAGTTGTATACATTTTTTTAAATTATTATATAGTGGAAACAACCATCATTTATTGACACTTATGTGCCAAGTCTATTAAACAACAACCCTACAAGGCATATGATGAAGAATGGGAGAATCTCCAGGATAAGTACCCACTTATGAAATAGCATTGGATGATGACACAGCATTACCTGTGTAGCATGTCTGGAGCCTGGTTCAGCAGTGTATAATACTGTCTCACAAATTCCCGCCCGACCAGCAGGGGACTAGGCTTCTCCATCACCATTGCTTTGGTCAATTCAACCTGGGGGCAGGAAAAAAAGGTCAAATATGTCCAACCTGAAAAATCAAACGAAAGGGGAGAAAGTGGTGGGGAAGACGACTGAATCCTTTAGCTGAAACCAACTCAAAGACGAGGCCACTTGAGCAATTGTTAGTTTTAAAAAGGAATAAACATTATAAGAATAAACAAAACCCACAAGGACCAGGAGAGATTTCTAGGCATTCAAATTTACTGCAATCAGATGACTACACAGGAGAAGAGGGAGGGTGAAAAGAGATCACCAAGAATTCATCATTACCCCCAGTATTCTACTTTCTTAAACTGGATATAAGAACCCCAAAGGAATGTTTATTTCCAACATGCATCCCACCGTAACTTTTTGAAAATTATTAAACTAAGTTATGAGTCTTGCCGTTGTAAGGATTACTAACATTATTATTTATGGCAATATTAAGTACATGGGTATTAAAATCTAAACAATAAATATAGCTTTGACATATACAAACACTATTACATTTTCAAACTAAGCCAAAGAAATTTTTAGTATTTTTAAAAAAGAAACCAGAAAAATAAAAATTTAAGTACGCTTAGTTCATTTTATAACAGGACCAAAATTATCTAAAAATAAAATAGGGAAAAGTTAACAAACAAGATGCTCCTACTCAACAAAATAAGTCCTCAAAAAAAAAACCAAAACGAAACGGTTGTCAGCAAGTCAATTCCAACTCAAAGCAACCCTATGAGACAGGGTAGAACTGCCCCCTAGGGTTTCCAAGGCTGTAACCTTTACGGAAGCAGACTGCCACATCTCTCTCCTGTGGAGTGGCTGGTGGATTCAAACTGCCAACCTTTCGGTTAACAGCCAAGCACTTAACCACTATATCACCAGGACTACTAAATAATTCCTATCACTTCAAAATTATCATGAAGATTTACTAAGTTAATATCTTTGAGTGCTAAGAAAGGTACCTGGCACACAGTCAAGTCCTTAAATAGTCAGCCACTGTCAAAAAAAACCTTCAGAAAAAATTATCTGACATAAGATAATCCAACTTTTCACTTGAGAGGAGAGAGAAAATCATCCTGAATTTAACCATAAAGGCAAACAAAGGAATACGTACAGATCTAATTACAGTATAAAAGGAAAAAGAATGAGTTTGGTAGGTCAATTTCTGAGGAAGCAGTTTGTGAAGACATGTTTATACTACTTACCTCCTGCAATTTCTGGAGCCCTGGTGGCGCAGTGGTTAAGAACTCAGCTGCTAACTAAAAAGTGAGCAGTTCAAGTCCACCAGCCACTCCTTGGAAATCCTACGGGGCAGTTCTGTTCTGTCCAATAGGGCCATTATGAGTTGCAATCAACTCGATGGCAACAGGTTTTTTTTTCGGGTGCATTTCTGCATTATTATTGAATAAATCTCCTGTTCATATCTGCCCCCTTTACCACTTGCTTTGCCTAAATCCAAAGGCCTGTTCTTCACTTTCCCCAAATTATAGCCACTAGATCAATGAGGATCAGCTTCCTGGTCATATGAAGAGTAGTTCGCCTGCAGGCATGACTACCAAGGTACCAGTGACAAAAATTTGGATCCTGAGCCTTAAACAGACGTACTCGAATAGAAATGACCTGAGGCAACCACTGTATTGTTCCCCTGGCTCTTGGTCAAAAAGGGAGGGAGGGGCTTCAGATGTTCTTAACCAATCCTAGATTCTTCAGAATTTAAAGATTTTTAGAGTTTGGCAGTCATCTAGCCATGATTTCCAAGTTTTGAGGTCTTCTATTACCTAACTTAAACTATAGCAATTTCTTCGAGTTCTCATGTAAAATTTCCTTTCTTAAAAGGGCTTAGCTATTCTATTTGAAATCTAACATCTGATTCAATCCCAAATGAAAAAAAAAAAAAAAAAAACTCAATGTGATTAAGTGACATTCCTACATCTCATGACTAGTGTTGGAACTCGCATACAGGTATCCCAATTCCTCAGAAACAAGTAAAACTAAAATTTATCATTTTCATTCCTTTGAGTTGTACCTAAGGAGGCCTGGTGGTGCAACCGTTTGAATCCACCGAGCAGCTCTGTGGGAGAAAAGACCTGGTGATCTGCTTCCATAAAGATAAGAACCAATAACACCTTATGCGGCAGTTCTACTCTTTCACGTGGTGTAGCTATGAGTCAAAAATCGACTCGATGGCACCTAACAACAAAGGTTGCACCTATGTTTTCCTGTATGTAAAAAAGCTAAACAGAAAGTTCCAAGGCTTCAAACTGGTTCTTCCCGGTTCAGTCATGGCCAAGGAAACAAAACCAGACAAATCCAAATATTTAAAATTTGGGTGAACCAGAATGATAACCGGAACAGGAAAAATTACAGGCTAAAGCCCTGCTAGAAACCTAGTCTCCCTCTTAGAAAACAAAGGCAGCTTACACACTGGATAGCTACCAAATCTCTTCTTGCCCACTGGATTTCGAGCAGAGCCGGAAACAGCAGTACCTCATTCAAGATGGCAGCCAACCGCACCGCTTTGAATGTGTATCTCTCCACAGTCCTGCCAATAATCCAATCTCATGCATCAGGCTCCTGAAAGGTCTCACTATGCCTCTTCTGAGTCTCCCATTCCAGGGCTTTGCACCATAATTTTTCTTGTTTTGGTTATGATTTTGGATCACCCAAATTGTAAAACTTCAGGTCTGTTCTGGTTTTGCTATGTCGGCCATGACTGAACTAGTTCAAAGCCCTGGAAAGTTTTACTTCCCTGTCTTATCTGAAACACACAATATATGCACAATATAAAACCAATTTAAAGGGAAATCTTCATGATAGGACAAAGAAAAAGAAAACAGTTCGCATTAAGTAAATTCCTCTCTTTTTACATTAGCTATACTCCCTTCTCTTTAGTACTATCTACTCTTATTCCCCAATCATTACAAATTTCATCATTACTAGACTAGTAACATCAACCTAACCGCATCCTTTAATATTGCCAAACAGCTCTGCTCTAAAACAAACTTCTAAATAACATCAAATACTACTAATCACATCCAATCTTCCTATGCAAAAACATAAAAACTATCTAGGCCATATATCAAAGATAAAAAAAAGAAAAATTAAATCTATATGTGATCTCAACTTCTCTTTTCTCCTCTTGGAGATTACCTAAATCAAACAAAATCAGTGGCCATCAAGGCTGAAAATAAAAAAATTAGCACATTACTGATTCTGGCACACAAAGTCAGAATGTTAAGTTTAAACATATTTACACACTAAATTGACATCTACCTACTTTGTGGGTTCTTCTTCACCAACTGTTATTAACTGGTAGGCTTGTCAGAAAAATCAGTATCATTCACCAAGTTTCCAAACATTAATTTTCTTCATTAGTTTACCAGTTTAATAGTTTACATTTACTGAATTATCTTGCAAAGCAGGGGCTTCATCAGCATTTTAAAATTTTCTATACAGATGCTACTTTATTTTGGGTTAAAATTGTTCAACTTCAGAAACACAGGTAGTTACTAGCCAGCACTCTAGCACTAAAGTTACAAGTTTTAGTGCCAGTCATCGAGGTTGTTTCCAATACACTTCTTGCCTTCAATTCTGACTCATGGTTCGACCAACGATGATCCCATGTGTGCAGAGAACTGCTTCATAGGGTTTTCAAGGCTGTAATCTTCCAAAAGCAGATTACCAAGCCTGTCTCCTGACGTGCCTCTGAGTGAGTCCAACAACAAACCTTTTGGCTAGCAGTTGAGGACCTAACCGTTGCAGATGAGGACTTAACCGTTTGCACCACGCAGGACTCCCAAATATCCTTATAATCTCCCATTTACACTATAAGCACTATACAGGTACACCCCTTACGATGGTATTCCATTCTGACGACTCTGTCCTAAGTCAGTTCTGACGTTAAGTCAAAAACTTTTTTTATTTAGCTTTTATTATTGCCTTTTATTGTCAGTATTTTTATTAATCATAACACTGAACATCTGCAAGTAAACATCTAAGAATGAGAACATCAGTGAACTACGTACTACAACACTGTATGTAGTACATATTACTAACAATAAGATGTATGAAAAAAATCAACAAAATACAGACGGTCGTAAGTGTGGTTAATCATAACTCGCATACACTGTAAGTCGGGGACTACCTGTATAGCTGCATTTCAGTGGCAGCTCTGGCTCCTAAAGTCTCTCCATTAAGCTAATCTGTAATAAATGTTGATCCACCAAACAGCAAGGGAAACGGCAGCAATATTAATAATTAATATAAAAAAATTTCATGTGACTAAAAGTGCATTGCATTTTCGTGAAAAGAAACCATACTGCTTCACTGCTAAAAAGACCAAGTCCTAAAGCGAAATAGCCAAAGGCTTCAAGAATTCTACATTCGTCATGTTCAGATAAAACCACCCAAGCTTCTTTCTACATGTTAAGGGTCTTAAGAGTAAACACCCTAGTGGGGTTGTTAACCAATGTCATAAAACAGCATGTGTGTTACTGTTACATGAGAAACTATCTGTTCTGTAAGCCTTCACCTGAAGTACAATAAAATATTATAAAAAATGAATAAATAAATGTAAGGTATGGAAAAATGAAAAAAAAAAAAAAAAAAAAAGAGTAAACACCCTATCTTTATAGCCCCAAAATTTAAGTGTCTCACATATAACATGTACAGCATGTTTTATCTCATTCAACATTCTCACACAAATGTTAGAATTTTATACAAAAGAGCTAAGCAAAATGGATTTCTGATTATCTAACTTTATCAAAATTGAATTGTCAGGTTTTCTGAAATTTAGATGAAAATAGCAGACACACTCTTTAATGATGAAGAAAAGTCCACTAACAAAACCAACGTAAGGTGATAGAAATAAGAAAGTGGTTGTCTGAGGGCGAACTAACTGGAAAAGAGCACAAGGGAACTAGCTAAGGTAAGAGAAATGCATACATTTGGGTGACAATTAAATGAATACTATATACAATTTTTTTGTTATAGACAATTTAAAAATTGTCAAACT